AAAGTGTCATATTGTTTACATTTTGAGGTCAAACCAGTTCAAAGTGAATAAATATCATTGCAAGATGCCAACAACGTTTAAACTATTGTAATTCATTTAAAAAGTACTAAAATAGAATGCAGCAAAAACAATAAGTTAGTTAACAATATTAAATGCCAGTAACATTAACCTGCATTAAATAACTCAATTAGTTATTCATATTAAGAGGTCTAATAACAAGATAGCAATAGTACATTAAAGTAGCGGTAGAAGAGAAAAAGATAGAACAGAACTGAATTATTCTTTATCGCACTCTCTAGCCAAGAGAGTGGCTACATCTCACTCTTAAAGGAGATATGAACTAATCAAAATCCTGCATGACACATGCTCCCACCCCCAGTATAGCCAGTAATATTTACCAGCAAAAGAAATGAATTTCATTGGTGTAGTTTTGTCCATATTTGAGAGGTAGAAAGGTTTAAGATTGGGGATGAGAATACTGGAATGATTTAAATGATGTCATGTGATTCTTACAGTTAGAATGTAGACTATCTTGCTTCCTTAATTAAGTTTCTAGGAAATTCTCATGAAAAATGATAATTCCAGCACACAAGAGTGGCATAAGATAGAGCTATTGTTTTGAAATTCAATAGATACATCAGTTCTGTTTTGATTTAAAATCCAATTGTGATATGAAATCATTTCTGATTGAAGTTGAAATCATCTCTGATTGAAATTTAAATCATCTTTGATTGAAGCATAAGCTGTTAATTTAGGTATACATTTTATGTACCCCAGGTGTCAGCCAAAGGCACTTTTGCTGTCAACTCCCTGTCAAGACACATAGTCTTCAAGGTTGGACAAGTTATTTAGCTACTTACAGTTAAATAAACAACAAACAAACAAAAAACCCTAACGCTATGCTTCTTTTTGTCACTAAAAAATAGGTCCATAATTAGCTTCAAAATGGTTGCCATTGCATCATCATATCCGGCACCAGCAGCCCAAAGGAAGAGCTATTCTCTCTGTACCCTCTAAATGATCCAAGGTTGAAAAGTTGGTTCATAATTCTCATTTGAGGAACCACCCCTGTGTGTAAAATTTTATTTTCAAAACATGGGCACCTTTATTTCCAAGTTAAAGATTTTCTGTATGTTGGGTCTAAACCAACCTTACATTTTCCAATAAGATTTTGGAAAAGAGGTTAAGTAAGGACAACCAGACCCTCCTTTTCACTAGAAATGAATAACATACCAGTTTCTAGTTGCACAGTGTTTTCATAAATTCAACAGCAAAAAAGTCATTCGTGCAGAAACAAGAATAACTTGTTTATAGGAAAATATTTATAAAAATTCTTATTTATGTTTTACCTGAAACCTCTTGCCTTTGACTAACACCATTAGGAAGCACTTTTGTGTATGTAGTCTTATTTAAGATCTGTATGTGCTTTCCTTCATCCTCATATAAAAATAAACTTAATACTAGATTTCAGCCCTTTGAAAACTCAAACAGTTGCCTTTAGTTCTTTACTAGATTTCTTTTTACTAGATTTTTTTCTCATAAATCATCCTTGAGGCTACTGCAAATTATGTCTTAAAATTATATTTGATTTGGAGGATCCAGCTCAGATAAGATATATTGGAATTCTGGCAATATTCTCCAGCAAAAAGGTTGCTTCTGCTGAGCTAAACGTATTCTTGAAAACCTTCATGAAGTTTTTCTGGTAATAACAAGGAAGTTGTTTTTTGTTTGTTTACTTGTCACTTACTGGGGTATATAAATCATGACATCTCAATCCAGCATGGCATTTGTCTAGGCTGTATTTTTTGACTTCTCAATCTAGTTCACATCCTTGGACTATTCAGATCGTTCTCCATCCAATTATTACTTTGGATGATCCCAACTTAGTCTTCAAAGTCAATAAAAGTCATCAAGAGGAACACCTTATTCTAAAAATGTCACTGAAGTGTGGGGAGTGGATTTGGAGGTCTGTGTTAAGATTAAAAATCTTCAAGGAGAATCTTGCAGGAATCATGGAAAGCTTTGATTACTCAAATTAAGGAAATTTCATTTAATTTAGTAGTTAGGTAATTGCAGATTTATTGCAATATGGCATCCAGCACCTTAGTTTGGCCCATTTGTCTGGTAACTACAGGAAAAGGTTATCTCTTTGTTTCTAGATGATATTTAAACAAATCTTTATTACAGGCTTCATTTTTTTTATAAAACAGATGCAACAAGAGTTTGAAGATTTCTTTATATCAATATACATTATGCAAATGCATAGGTTGCTTGAAATGCCTTTAAGATATGTGTGTACACATCTGTTTATGTGTGTTTCTATGTAAGTTGGGGATATAGAGCCTCAGTGGTTCAGTTAGAGTGCAGTATTGCAGGGCATTTCTGCTGACTACTGGCTGCCTGCAATTTGGCAGTTCAAATCCCACCAGGCTCAAGGTTGACTCAGCCTTCCATCCTTCCCAGGTGGGTAAAATGAAGACCCAGATTGTTGGGGGCAATAAGCTGACTCTGTAAACCACTTAGAGAGGGTTGTAAAGCACTATAAAGCGGCATATAAGTCAAAGTGCTATTGCTATTGCTCTTTTTATGCCCTTGATATAGACTATCCATTTAAATATATAAAGCAAAGATATAGCTTGTGAAATAAAACACTTGGTAAATTATTAGCCTCTTGTTGACTCAATGAAATATTACCCCTTTTTAAAACTCTTGATTATATAATCAAGTATAAAAGGATTTTATTTTTTACATAATATAGTCTGTATTTATTTAGTTGACTTATATGGCCACCCATCTTCGGTGCTATAACTCTGGACAGCTCACATTAACTATAAGAAAAATATAAAAGAAACAATACAAAAGGTCCCAACTCCAAGTGCTCTAAAGTTACACTTCCTGGTACATAAAGACTCTCAGTCTGAAGATTATGCACAATCAAGTTGTCTATTTAACGGAACTTTTATCTCTGCCAAATGTAAGAGATAACTTTAAATCTATGAAAAAAGAAAAAAAAAACCTTCCTGGTCCAGCTGGTTCTCCTATGCAGGGATATAAGACTTATACTGGAGTAATATGTTCTAATACTATTGGAACTATATAATGACAAATGTATGTAATAAATACATGATTGTTGCTATTTGCATGGTTGTTGTTATTGTGCTTTTTAAAATAGTGTTTTTCTAACTTCTTTAGTGATAACTGTATAACTGATTTTGCAGAACAACAGAGTTGGAAGGGACCTTGGGAGGCTTCTAGCCCAATCCTCTGCTCAGGCAGGCAACCCTATACCAGTGATGGCTAACCTTTTCCACGTTGCGTGCCAAAAGTGTGCATGTGTGTTTGCATGAATGTGCTCATGTGCCTGCACCCATGATGCAATGCGCGTGTGACTCTCCTGCCTCTGTGCATGCACATGTGTGACCCTGCCACACCTCACACATCTGCACATGTGCATGCAACCCCCCCCACATGCTGCATGCTTCTGCCCATGCACACATGTCTCTCACGCGCACGTCTCTTCCCACACATGCGCGGCAGATGTCCAACAATCAGCTGGCTGTTGGGGGCGCATGCACATGTGCAGTGGGGCTCTTTTGGGCAACCTCTTGAGTGCTGGCAAAAGTGGCTCCACATGCCACTTCTGGCACACATGCCATAGGTTCACCATCACGGCCCTATACCATTTTAAGACAAATGCTTTGAAAGTTGATAAAGATCCTGAAGACTTTTCATGGATCCATAAAATGTCCTTGATATGGTGTGTACTTTCCACGTAAGGGAAAGAGCTGTTCAATATTATTTAATGTAGCTAAGGTTAATTATTGGTTTCAAAATTATACTAAATGTTTTTGCTGCATACCAGAAACATTTTATTTGCTTTCTCCCCCCTCTATGTTTTACTTTTTCTTTCTTCTTTAATACATCAAAACAATAAATCAAGATTAAACCTTGAAGAGGGCACAAGCATATTTTGAAAGCCCAGCACCTCAGAGATATGCCACCAATTAGATAAAATGTTATGAACAGTGGATCATGATAGAGAAGACAGATTGTCATGTATTATTGTTGTTTAGTCACTTCTGATGGATAGACCTCATTTTGTCAGGATTTTCTGCCCATAAATGTTTCTATGAATTCTTGTAAGCTCTTGCTTGTGGTATTGGTAAATGTTTTGATCTAGGACACGTGTATGCATGAAAGGCAAATGCAATGCACTATTAAAAGGAAAATAAATACAGACACACAAAAACATATTTCATGCAGCATCTTCTCCAAAACAAAGTTGTGATGAACTTTTTGAATTCTCCTTTGTTTCTCCAATGCTAAAATAATCAATAGAGACATATAAAGTTCTGTTCTGTGTAATTCAAGACTTACAAAACTCAACTGCTCAAAGCCAAACCAATATTCTCTCCATAACCTGGTTTTGTCAGCTGGTGCTCCATTCAAAATCCAAGAAAGAAATACTTAGAGTCCATTAATTAGAGAAAAGATATCTTTTACTGGAAATCAAGTGGTAGCAACAAAAGAATTCTGAATCTGAGAAAATGGGTACGTAAATCACATATACAAAGTGATGGCAACGTTCCCACCTCCAATAGTTCAATTGGCTCATCCAATTAAAAGCTGTGTATATCATCAGGTGGGCATCTCCAGGTGGTGATGGGCCTCTGTCCGTTGACCTTGACATATTTTGATAAAGAGTTGCAGCTGTGCATAGCATAGAATAGAAGCCTAAGCAAGAACCTTCCCCTCCCAACTTATACAGTTCTGTTTTGTAACACCTCCAGCTCACTTCCCATAACCATGCCCCCCTCCTCGCCCCGTTACTTATGACAGCTGAAAGATGCAAAGCAAAAAGAAAATCTTGAAGGCTGACAGGTTTATTCACAATATCCCCGTTGTTCTGATGGCCAGAGCTAAGTCAATGTATGAACAGAAAAGAAATATTTTAAATGTAGCATTAATTTATAATCATTTTTTTTTACTCTGGTAGGATGCTTTTTGAAGCTGAGCAGCAGAGTATCATGTGGAACTAAGAGGCCAGGGAGAAAATTTTCTATGCTTCAAATACATGCCCAGACAGCCAGCAATCTCTGATATTCCACACCTATTTATTTTTTTAAAGAAGGTAAGTGACTGCTACTGTTTCAGTTTTTATTTTATTTTTATAAAATATGTAGATAAAGATAGGGCCAGGAGCTGATTTTTATCTGTATTCTCAACACAGAACTTCCAATTTTCATTATTCTTCATTACTCTGCACCAGAGATGGTATTCAGCAGGTTCTGACCAGTTCTTGAGAACCGGTAACGGAAATTTTGAATAGTTCAGAGAACCGGTGATAATCTTCCCCCAGGAGTGGGCAGGGAATGGAGATTTTACAGTATTCCCCCCCGCCACACCCACCAAGCCACACCCACAGAACCGGTAGTAAAATTTTTTTGAATCCTACCACTGCTCTGCATATTTTTGCTTCCAACCAATGTAACTTCTTCCAAATAATAGGAAGATCTATTAATATTGTTCTATCAAGCGCCAAAATATTATAAAAATGAGACACAGCTGAGAAGATCTAAAAGAATAATATTTGGTGCAAATTGGTAGGAAGAACGACATCCATTTCAGAACTGGAATGAGACAGTGGCAAAAATCTTAGAAAATTTCAGAATTTTTTTTCCTTTCAGAAATATCTAGTCTGCTCTTTTCTGGACACCTGCAGAACTGACCGCTGTAGATATTCATCCCCTCTGCCCATCCTGTAATAAAACTATATCAATGTTCCATTCACACTTTTCAATTATGTTGGAGCCCAATTTCTGGAAATGAGAATCCCAATTATCTGAAGGAAACACACTAGAAAAATTTACCCAGAATCATTCTTTCACATCATTGCAAGAGAACTTTAAAAGTGAAAGAGGGGGCACAGAGGTTGCAATTTTTCTGTGACATCTCTACAAGGATATTAGTTGGTGAGTTAGCTGTGGTTCAAAAGCATCCAGTGAATAGTTTTGTCACTGCTAGAAATGGAGCAAGGTTACCCAGGAAATTTTACTACAGAGAGGTAGGAAGAATTATTGCAGAAATATGTCCCATGTATATGTCAGTCCCCAAAGTTCAGATCTTAAGACATCTCCCTTCGTTCTTCAAGCCTGTGGATTTTGGGCTGTTCTTTTCTAAGCCTTGCAGCTCTCTGCTGTCTGGCTTTTGCTTATAAACCATGAATGAGAATCAGAGTCTCTTACTTTACCAGCTTCAATCCTAATACAGACCATTTCAACATAACTTTGGACTAAGATATCAGACATAGGTAAAGTGGATACCATGTAGTACCATGTACAAAATAATTGTAAAGACATGCTACAACTCCTATTATTCAGTTCTGGAACAGCTGATTTAGCATCATTCAAGACTAAATTGAGGCTCTGGGTACACAGTTGACGTACTTGTATAATCCACCGATAGTTGCAGCTCCATCCTAGTCCTGGCAGTTTTGATAGGTCCATTCCATTCAGTGGTATTTAAAAAGTTTATTCAAACGCAGGATTTAAAAGAAATTCGAGTACTGTACATCCTGTCTTGCATCTGTATTTAATAAACCATGTTTGTAGTTTATGGAATAGCACATCATGGCAATCCCTGCCAACTATGAGTTATTCAGCAGCACATACCACTGTATTAGTATGACACATGGAACTCAGCCAGTGTAATTCTTTTCAGTTTTGTTAGGCAACTAAAATGTCCAAAGCAGTTTGGGCCTGTGCACATGAGTATACTCCAGGAGGAACTGACATATTCCTTGGCCCTGGGGAAAAGTCACTTGTTGTCTTTGTAGGACTATTGGCTCTGACTGCCAGGTGGCTTGTGTGTAGCAATAATTTCCAGCTTCAAGAGCAGATCTTTTGTTCTCTCATGTTGTTCTGGCAGGAACAAAGGTCCTGGAAGCTCTCTGCTCTGCTTTGACATGTAATATTAAAACTCCTTCAATCCAATGGTGGGATTCAAATTTTTTTTACTACCAGCTCTGTGGGTGTGGCTTGATGGGCATTGTGTGTCTTGTCGCCATGGCTTGGTGGGTGTGGCAGGGAAAGGATACTGCAAAATCCCATTCCCTCCCCACTCCTGGAGGAAGGTTACCACTGGTTCTCTGAACAACTCAAAATTTCTGTTACTGGTTCTCCAGAACTGATCAGAACCTGCTGAACACCACCTCTGCTTCAATCTCAATAAATGGCTACAAGGACTGTTGATGATGATGTTGATATTTAGATAGAGATGTTTTTCTGGGTTTGATAACATAGTGGTATTGAACAATTTTCCAGTAACTCGCAAATTTAGATATGTTCCTAAATATATCAATTCCCTTCCCCACACTTTTTTAAAGGTATACCAATGGGATTTATGTCAGGAGTTTTGGCTACACGAGTGGATATTTATAGTATCTTTTATGGATACTATAAATACTATAAATATCCACTCGTGTAGCTAGCTATGATTTGTATAAAAATCTCCTTGCATTAAACCTGACATTTTAGTTGCTACCACTGTTTTCTACAATTATCATAATAAAACCAAAACAGGATTGTTATTTCTATTTACACTGATGGCATTCATTTCTATAGGCAAATGTTCAGTTAATATTCATCATAGCTATTTAAGCAGAGTAGAACAATGCTTTTATATAATTGATACTGGATTTTGCTATAAGAACATGAATGTTTTAGAAAACATGGCCTTTTCTACAATTATCCATTTCATTATTTCCATGGAACTATTAATAATTTTCTCTGGAATCCTTCATCTGATAATATACCATTCAGTGGTTCACCAGAGTTAAGAAGTCTATTTCCCCCCATTCTTTGTTAGAAGTTATATTTGTTAGTGTTTGGGGATAAACCCCCTAGCAGAGTGTGCAGCAGCAGTCAAGCCAGGCAGACAAATGAGAGAGAGAGTGGGCCCAAGAGTATACACACACTGGAGACAAAAACACTGTTTGTGGTTTTAAAATAGTTATTTAATTCACACAGAGATTAAGAAGTGTCATTCAGTCCATATATCATTATCCAGTATATCCATCCAGTTATCAAGTCCATTAACAGTAAATACAATGTCCTTATCTGCTTGTAAATCTTCTCTTCCCGATACCTTTCTCTCAAAGACAATGCTGAATCCTCAGCTCACCAAGCAAACAGTCCTTGTGTTCAGTTGAAATGGTATCTGGCACAGTAGCCTCCAAAAGTAAGCAGATAGACGTTCCAGCAGGCAGCAGACCAGGAACAGAACCAGGTGCATCCAGAAGCCGGGCTCAGACAGTTGCATCCAGAAGCCGGGGCTATTACGTTTCCCTTCCTACCTTTATTACTGCCTGCAACCGCACCCACAATGACATTGCAGTTTCTTGTGCTTAAAGCTACAAGACACTTAATCCTAGGTTTACATATTTATTCAACCCAAACCTGGTTGGTGTATCCATATACCCAACATTCTCCCCTTTTGGGTGATATAAATATGTAATGCCTTTACATTCTAAACCCATATTTTTCACAACTCTCTAGATGCTTAATAGCACCTTGGGCTTTAGTAAAATGATCAGCTACATTGTCCTCCGACATGCAGTACTCCAGCTGTATCAATTTACTCTGTACAGATTGTCTTACATTAAGATACCTCAAATCTGTATGTTTACTTCTCGTTTTAACTGCAATATTAGTGGCCATTTGAATTACTGCCTGATTATCTTCATGTACAACTATAGGGTAATTTACAGTTATACCCATATCCTTCAACATTTGTTTGTACATAATCAACTCAGTACACAATAGTGATAAACAGGAGAATTCTGCCTCCATAGTAGACAAACTTATATGCTGTTGTCTAATTGACTTCCAACCTATTAATGTCTTACCCAGCATTATGGCTGTTCCTGAAGTCGACTTTCTAGTATCTCTTTCTGCTGCAAAACTAGCATCTGCATAAGCACTCAATATGAGATCACCTTTTGGTTCTAAATACAATGCATGGTGTAATGTACCTTTAAGATATCTTAGGATTCTTTTCAATGCTATCCAGTGACATTGAAGCGGATCATTATTGTGTCGTGCCAGCTGATTAATACTAAAAGCAATATCTGGCCTTGACCAATTGCTAATATATGATAAGCTACCAATCAAAGATTGATACAGTTCCTTATCACATTTGGGACTTTGAGTATCCATTTTGCAAATATCCTGACTCATTGGAGTCTTTGCAGGCTTACAAAGTTCCATGTTATAATCTATTAGCAATTTAGATATCTTATCTTCCTGAGATATCTTAAAACCTTTCTGTGTTCTCAGTATATTCAATCCTAGATATCTCTTTATCTCCCCTAATTGCTTGATTTTTACCTTCTTGGCTAATGATGCAATTATTTCATTTGCTTCATCATTAGTCTTCGTCATCAGAGCAATATCATCAGTAAACAACAATAATAATGATATTTTCCCATTCTTTTCCCTCTTAAATAGACATGGGTCGGCTAAACCAGCTTTAAACCCTATATTGGTCAGTTCCTTCACAATATACTGGTTCCATTCATAACCCGATTGTTTAAGACCATAAAGGCTCTTCTTTAATAACCAACAATCATTATTATTGTCTCCTTTAAATCCATTAGGCCTTTTCATATACACAGTATGTCTTAGTGGAGCATGCAAGTAAGCAGTTTCCACATCTAAATGGTTAACTATATATTGCTTGCTTGCTGCCCATACTAATGCTGCCCTTAAAGTTGCTGCTTTCAGACTAGGTGCGAATACTTCATCATAGTCTTTTGCACTTTGTCTAAAACCTTGGGCTACTAACCTTGCCTTATGGATTGTGTTTCCATCCTTATCTGTTTTTATTTTAAAAATCCACTTGCAGCCAATGGGTTTTTCATTACTAGGTAATCTCACATTTTCATACACCTTCATATCCTTCAAAGACTTCAATTCTTTATTAATTGCTGCATACCAATTTTCTTTCTCTTTAGAAGGATATCTTTTAATCTCATCCACAGTATTTGGGATTCTATTTTCCTGGCACACTGTGTTAGCCTGGTATCTGTCAGGCGGTCTAGAAATACGTGTAGTCCTTCTGGGTATTACTGGG